ATCGCCTTCCATGATCAGCGAGTGACTCATCCACGGGGTAAGTTTCTTAGACTTATTTCACAGGTTTCCCCAATGATCCACAAGCTGTGTTATAAAACCACTATCTCATTTTTCATTTCATTTCACTTTCATTACCTCGTTCATGGTGATTTAAGGCCCCTTCCCCGTTATTCTTGTTTCATGTCGAGGATTTAAATCTAATTCCCAGGTATTAGTTTATATGGGTTTATGTTGTTGCATGTATCCATTTGTTCTTCGATGACCTCATCGAAGAACAAAGAAGAACAAATTTTTAATTTAGCCAGAGATGGTCAAACGGCAGAGAGAATTTATTTCCTTTCAAGTACTTATTTCTATCGCTCCTATCTATGCGTGCGGTTTAACTGTTAATACATTACCTATATGCATGAACTATGATTGTAAGTTGAGTAGAGTGGAAAAACCGGAACTCCTGAAGGATAAAAGCAAGAGAGGATCCAATCCAAAAGATTGAGCAATTCATCACCAGACTAATTGGTGAGTTATGAGATAAGAGAGTTCTCTGGGTAAACGGTGAAGGCCTTAGTGGAAAAAATACCTATAGCCGCTAGACGTGACATAGTCTAAGGAAGTTTTTTTTTTTTTTTTTACCTCAGCTTTGTTTAAGATAAACAAACGCGTCTATCAATGATCGGTCCTGTAACACGGCTAATTGCAAGCCTTTCATTCCATAACATATTTCAATTACAGCGCTTTTACGAAAAAAAAAAAAAAAAAAAGCTTTAAACGTCACCCAAAAATGTGTTCAGGTACTTGAAGTTGTATACATTTGTAATAAGATTAATTTTAGAGCATTTTTTACCTTGCGATTAAAAAGCCAGTCTAGTCGACTTTACAATAAAAGTCACGTTCGTTAAATATCGATCCCACATTCTTCCCTATAAGAAGTTCTAAAATAACACGTCTCAAAATAAGAATTTCTTGACACTCGTTGAGTTGTTCTTCTCGTTGCCACTTTGCACTGTCTCTTAAAACAAATGTTATTGAATTGTTTCTTCGGAAACGAGTTTAGTCCCTCTCGGAGGACAACGAGGTTGAAGATTTGTTTCTAGCCCACATCAATCATTGCTAGAAATCTATCGATCTGTTGGTAATGATTCTGATCATCGTAATTTGCAAGAGATAGAATTTTATCGCCGGAATTTTAGGCCCGGGTCAAACGTCGAATTTCACACATGCCGAACTTTATGCGAGAGTTAAATGCGTGTGAAGTGCGGCATTTGAGTCAATAAAATTCGACTGTTTTAAATTAAGTGCTACTTTTGCCGTATCTGCGACTAAAACAATCGAAGGTTCGACTTAGGTGCGACTTTTGATTCAAACTTCGCATCTCACAGGTGCCTAACTTAATGCATGAATCTAATAGGAAATTATCATGATTCCTTTATCGCCCACAACTCGCCAGGAATTCTGTGAATGCCATGCGCCAAAAAGCCAAAACAGCACAAAAAAATGGTGGAAGACGAAGGAATTTGTAGTTGTTGCTTTGCAAAGACAAAATACAGTTGTTTGACGTGCTGTAATTACTTTTGTATGAGATGTTCGGTTATTGAAAACGAAGAGGGCACTCCTGGGT